GTCGCAGAGCAGCACCCTCTGCAGACATCGACTACTCTCCCGAGATGTTCAACCGAGCGTTGGTACTGCTTGAGGACATGTGCACGTCGATGACCGGTCAAACTCTTAAGGATCTCGGTTTGACGCCACCAATACGCGGAGATGACCAAGCACTTGAGAGCGATGTTCTCCGAGAAAGGTCCTATGATGTCAATCAGCTGTCGAGATTTGTAGAGTCCAACAGATCCCTCCTCACGGAGGATCAAGAGTTAGCATACCACGTTGTTCTGGACACGATTTCCAGTGGCAAGGGTGGGCTACTCTTTCTCGACGCTCCAGGTGGAACAGGGAAAACGTTCCTCATCAATCTCCTACTTGCCGAGATTCGCAGACAAGGAGGAATCGCACTAGCAGTGGCATCCTCAGGAATTGCATCAACACTGCTAGAAGGAGGCCGAACTGCTCATTCAGCCTTCAAGCTTCCTCTGGATATTGCTCATGTAGAGCACCCAGTGTGTGGGATAAGCAAAGGCACAGGGAAAGCCAAGGTGTTACAAGAAACCAAACTCATAGTTTGGGACGAATGCACCATGGCGCATAAGAAGTGCCTAGAAGCCGTTGACAACACACTACGGGATCTACGAGGAAGCGACACGGTGATGGGTGGGGCCGTCGTGCTACTGGCAGGCGACTTTCGTCAAACTCTGCCAGTGGTTCCGCGATCGACTCCAGCAGATGAGCTGAACGCTTGCCTCAAAGCTTCTCCTCTCTGGAGACATGTCCGATCGCTGAATCTCACGACGAACATGCGAGTCCACCTCCTTGGCGATGAGACTGCCAGAAACTTTGCGCAACAACTGTTGCTTCTAGGCGAGGGCAGAATTCCGGTTGAACCAAGTTCTGGTTGGATTACCTTTCCTCCAGACTTCTGCAATATGGTTCAATCGGTGGGAGAACTGATCGAAAAGGTCTTTCCAAACCTTGCCACCAACTTCAGCAATGGGGAGTGGATTTGCGAGCGAGCAATTCTGGCGCCCAAAAATGAGCAAGTGAATTCTATCAATGCTCAGATTCTAAACAGCCTACCTGGACCAGTAACAACATACACATCCTTTGATACGATGGTCCAAAGTGAACAGGCTGTTCACTTCCCCACTGAGTTCTTGAATTCACTCGAGCCCAATGGGATACCACCTCACAGACTTGATCTGAAGGTTGGTTTGCCAATCATGCTCCTTCGTAACATCAACCCACCGAAGATGTGCAATGGTACAAGGCTTTGCATCAGGAGTCTCATGCCAAACGTCATAGTAGCGACCATATTGGTGGGGAAGTTCAAAGGTGAAGATGTTCATATTCCACGAATCCCTTTTGTCCCCTCCGATATGCCCTTTGACTTCAGGCGAGTGCAGTTTCCGATCAGGCCTGCACTCGCTATGACGATCAATAAAGCGCAAGGACAGTCTCTGCGAACAGTAGGAGTAGACCTGGAAACTCCCTGTTTTTCGCATGGTCAGCTGTACGTGGCGTGTTCCAGGGTCGGGAGTCCGGCGAACCTGTACATATATGCGCCCGAAGGGAGCACAGCTAACGTAGTGTATCCCAGGGCGCTAACATAATTGCATGCAGTAGTATATAGTGCAGTATTTATTTGTTGCATGCCATTCTATTTCAAAATCAAAAAAAAATAAAAAAAGATAAAATCCAAAAAAATAATAAAACGAAAACCCAAAAAAATGGTGGCCTGCGGCGGTCAGGGAAGGTGGGTGGGACAAACAAAGCAAATGAATAGATCCAGCTGAGCTATCCTTCCTTACTGATGAGTTCCGGGGAAAGCCTAGGACCTATTCAGCCAAACCGTCTAAGGGTAGGAACGAAACGGTACAACTAAAAAGCCGAAGTTGTATCTCGGCTTTTTTACCCGAAGTGTATGTGGTGCCGGGCGGAGCCGGGTACCCCAGCTGTCGATTGATAACGAGAAGTAGCCTACGACACGTGCCCGGCTCCGCTATGTAAAGGCTACTGCATGAGCTAGCTGAGCGGGCGCGAACGCGGCGCCCGCGTATCCTCATCGTTGCAAATCCTGCGCTTCATGCGGTCTGCGGCTAATAAAGCCGCGTTCGCGCTCAAAGATATTGCGCCTTCGTCATGCAGCAGCGTATTTTGTGCAAAGTTTGGTCCAAATTGGCCCAAAAAAATTCCAAACCCGCAATACGTACACACAGATAGACAAACGAACAGACATTCTGCTTCTTACATAAGAAAGCATATGTCTTAGGCCTAAGGCACACCTCGCGCGATTCGGCACAACAGCGATACTTCGTTATTTGTCGTTAATGCGCTGTCTCTGGTCAGAACTTGCTCCGTTTGCAACAACTTACACAAGCTACCCGAATATGCGTTTGAGAAGTGCGCACGGTAAATTTGTAAAAACTTGCCTGCTTACCCGGCTCCGCTCGGGCCTATCACACTGTAATAAAGGTCCCATCCGTACCCCGCAGCCTTTCCCTGTGCCCACTTCTACACTTCATCTCCCGTTCCCTGTGTTGTTTTCGAAATCAGCATGCTCGACTACCCCCCTGTGCCAAATCCCAGCCCCGTAGCTCAAACTCTGCAAAAAAATCGATAAAATCGATAAAAGTAATGGACGATTTTGGAAACTAATATTGTGTTCGTAATCAGCATGCTCGACTACCCCTTTGTGCCAAATCCCAGCCCCGTAGCTCAAACTTTGCAAAAAATCGATAAAATCGATAAAAGTAATGGACGATTTTGGAAACTAATATTGTGTTCGTAATCAGCATGCTCGACTACCCCCCTGTGCCAAATCCCAGCCCCGTAGCTCAAACTTTGCAAAAAATCGATAAAATCGATAAAAGTAGCGGATAATTCCAAAAACTAAAATTGTATTTGTAATCAGCATGCTCGATTACCTCCCTGTGCAAACTCCCAGCCCCGTAAGTGAACTCAGCAAAAAAATCGATAAAATCGATATCGATCGATGACGAAAAGTAGCCTACGACACCCGCCGGGGCCCGAAGTGTATGTGTGCCAAGTTTGGTCCGGATCGGTTGAGAAATGGAATTTCTATTCGGAGCATACGTGCAGACACACACAAACAGACATTCAGCTTTATATAAAGAAGGTCTGGCAAACCAACAAGTCGCGTGAAAACGACGATTTGGCCGAATCGCGTGAGGCATGCCTTAAGTCTCAGGCATCGGATTGAGAGCTGTGATTGTCGCTCTCCCTTGCGGGAGAGCTGTCCCAAAATTTGAGTCACCGCCGGGGCCACATTGGTGGCCACCGGCGGTGGGGCCGGCTGACCCCGCCTTAGGCGGTGTCATGCCGGCGCCTTCTGCGCGGCGGCGCTACTGGCCGCGCGGGCTCCGCCGGCTCCCTTGCGGGAGCCGGCGGATTGCCCGCGCTTTGGCGTGGAGCCATTCCCGCGGCTCCCCCCCGGGCCGCGGATCATCCGCCCAATGGACTCGGGGGGCAGGGGGGTTGCCGCGGGGGGCTGGGCGGGAGGGTCGGCGGGGATGGGGCGGGGGCGGGGGCGGTCGCCGTGCGACCTCGAGGGCCGCCACCCGGCCCTCGAGCGCTCGCACGGCGACCGCTAGCGGGTTGTCCTGTTGTTGCTGCTCGAGCTGCAACACCGCCGCCATCCGGTCTACATCGACGAGGATATGGTCGCCGTCCCATCCTAATATCGCCTCTAGAAAACGGTCCGCACGGACTTGCACTACCCTTATCGGCATTATGAGTACCTCAAACTTGGGTAATTAAACCATCGCTGCCAGCTGTCGACCCTACATCATTGGTTAGGCTTATATCTCGTGGCGCGTCGGCAGCTCGGGTCGGCAGCTGGCAACGATGGTTTTCATCCCGTGCGAAGCCGGGTACGCCAGCTAGTCCTCGATAAAGAGAAATGAGGGAAATGAAAGAATAAGAAGGTAAATGAGGGAACATAATGAAATCAGAAATTTTACTTACGCAAAGATGCTGTATCTTCCTAATTACTTCTTGGACACTCCACGATGACGATGTTGCGCCTTCGCGCTACGCTGACAATCGCTTTGAAAGGGCTCCTCACTGAGGGGCGGGCGTTAGGTACCCAGCTGGGGTGCGGGCGTTAGGTACCCAGCCATTTGTGATATACGCTAAGCCCCGCCCCTTTGTTACTTATCAGCGGGTACCTAACGATACACCAAATCCAGCTGCTAGAACAGCTCACCTAGCGTGCAAAAGCGCTGCCGCTTGGGCACAAATGAGACAGTTTGAGAAAACAAAAAAATGTGCGAATAAAAACGGAAGTTTGTACACAGCCTTCTTTCTATAACACAGAAATTCGATGATGAAAGTAAAGAACAAGGTAAGGCTTGTATTTTTTTTGTATTCACATTATTTTGCAAAAAGAAATCGTGATAAACTGATCTAGCTAATCAGCGGAAATTTCAAAGAAGTAAACTCTGTAGAAATCCAGTTGACCAAATTCTTATGCTTTTGATGAAGCAAAGCGCTCTTTCAGAGATGCTCCTGGCAAATTAGTTGCACGGAAAATTCCTTTATTCCAAAATATTCTTCAGATAAATTTTTGACAACGAGAAGTGAAAACGATTGACACAAGAGCTTCGACGAGAGCTTATCATCAGGAATCTAGTTGGATAATTTGATCATATTTTGGCTGCTAAAAAGAGAATGAATTTCAAACAATTGCAGTATGAAAGTGCTCTAAAAAGCATACGGAGAACATAGGCATGATGAAATACAGTAACTCAATGGAAATTTCATAAGGGATGTGAAATCTTCCAAAATAAAGAAAAATGTCTGCTCATTAATGTAATCCCATAATTCTGCTGATCTCAGTAATGACCGAATTGATGGCCTTGACACTCTAGTTCACAACCCCTGTAGCAATATCAACGTAAAAGGGTTACGACCCTTAACTTCACACCTCAAAACGGAGGCCAACGACAATATGCGTATAAACAAACAGGAAGAGGTTGATTTCCACATCAGTAATGCCAATTCAGACGTCATACTCTGAAGTGTATGGGCGCACAGCCACATACTACTCCTTTGATTATATCCCTAATCAGGTAAATGTGATTTGCTTATTTCGATTTATTATGTGGGTAAATATGTAGAATTTTCAGGAGAACGTCCTTCCACCAACATTCTCTACGCTATATCAAGATAACAATACTGCCGCTATATCAAGATAACAATACTGCAACATCAGCGGATCTCTTTTCGTCCTCTTCCCAGGTAAAATTTAAAATTCAATTGTTATCATTTTTTTTTGAAAATGACTAAAATATGCAGAATTTTCAGAAGAACGTCCTTCCACCAACATTCTCTACGCTATATCAAGATAACAATACTGCAACATCAGCGGATCTCTTTTCGTCCTCTTCCCAGGTAAAATTTAAAATTCAATTGTCATCATTTTTTTTTTGAAAATGACTAAAATATGCAGAATTTTCAGGAGAACGTCCTTCCACCAACATTCTCTACGCTATATCAAGATAACAATACTGCCGCTATATCAAGATAACAATACTGCAACATCAGCGGATCTCTTTTCGTCCTCTTCCCAGGTAAAATTTAAAATTCAATTGTTATCATTTTTTTTGAAAATGACTAAAATATGCAGAATTTTCAGAAGAACGTCCTTCCACCAACATTCTCTACGCTATATCAAGATAACAATACTGCAACATCAGCGGATCTCTTTTCGTCCTCTTCCCGGGTAAAATTTAAAATTCAATTGTCATCATTTTTTTTTTGAAAATGACTAAAATATGCAGAATTTTCAGGAGAACGTCCTTCCACCTACCTTTTCTACGCTATATCAAGAAACAAACCACACCGTAGCGACATCGCTATCTTCTCCTTTGAACACTTCTACGAATGCAGAAGTGTTCAAAGGAGAAAAGAAGGTAAGTAAACGCGGATCACACCCTGTTATTCTTTACGATGTTCCAGGTTCTACGCGAAGCTACATATTTCAATACCATAAAAGGACAAGCCAAGAGGGACGCCTCATCTATCGATGCCTTGAATGCAAGCAAGCTAATAAATTCACTTCAGTCCATGTAGATTAATTTTAGATTATAAAAACTTCTTCCAGAGCTTTATAGTAACGTTTTAGGTAACAAATGATAGATTTCATAGCAATCTATGCCTTCTGCAGCATAGATGCTTACCAGCTGAACGCTGCAGAGATAAAGCTTCTCGTGTTACATACAAGGTATGCATTTTTTCAAAAATATGTTCTTTAATGCCAGCATTCTCAAAATGGCAAATTGCAGAGCACCCAGACTCTGCGCAGTGATAAAGATGCTCACAAAGCTCCAACATATCGCCATTATTCTAAGGCTGCTGAAGCGATTCTGGAGATGGACTGGAAAAGTGAGTCAAAGTCGAATATCCTGAACTAATTTGCAGTGTTTTAGCAGATGTCGAAAGGCGGCAGGTGCTACAAGCTTTTGCTGGAAAGGATTACAATAGCAAAAGAACCACGTTTGCGAGGTTTGGAAGTTATAATTTAACTAAGACCTTGAGTATGTTTTACTTGTAGAGCAGCTGCTGCGCAAAAGAGAACGGTGCTGATGTCCGATGCCCCTGAAGACCTTCGAGAACTAACAGGGGGTGAGGAGTTCCTCGGATTACAAAATGAAGACCTCCACATATATTTTTCCGAGGAACTCGTTCGAGTAAGTAGTTGACAAATCGTAACATATCTGCAGAAATTAAATTCAGTTGGCTTGCTCGAATGGGCTCGTAGCACTTGTTGGCGACGGAGTGCACAAGCTGAACCCTTTAAGCACGCCCAACCGAATGGATAAGGGTCAGCTTTACATTCTGCATGCCGTTATCACCGGAGGGCTCGAGGAAACTATCATATTAAATATTAGTCGCAGCTTTTGAATTTTCATTCAGATTCCAATTTTATATGCCGTATCGCGCTTTAAAACCCTGGAAACCTACAAAACAATATTCGCCCTGCTTAATGGAGCGCTGACCACTAGGAATATGCGCATAATCCTAGATTACGAAAAGGTGAGTTTCAACAAAGCATGTCCAGCACATAACGAGACAGCTGCTTTAGGCCGCGATACGTGCAGCGAGAGAAGTTTTCCCGGAAGCAATCATAGAAGGCTGCGCATTCCACCTCGCCCAAGCGTGGAATCGCAGATCCGCTGATTTGGGACTTCGACGCTTCGTCAGGGGACCACAAAAGATAAGTGTTGTTGCAAATTGGTGGAAAACATTGAAAGGTATAGTTTTTTTTACCAAAAGACTTAATTGACAAGGTGCCTGCTCTCACTTCGCCGCCGGTGAGTCCAGGCCATATCGCTCACGAGGCATGCAGAAATTTCCTAAACTACCTGCGCACTGTTTGGCTGACTGGTGTCTATGCGAATTTGTGGTGCAAATGGGAGCACGAGGAGTTAAGAACCACAAATATCGCTGAGGCGTTCCATAGGTAGGCTATCGTTCACTCTGAGTACGTTAGATAATTGAACTGTTTAGCAAGCTGCGCACCATTCTCTCAAGAAGAATAAATCCGCCGTTTGAGGAGCTTCTAGACTGCATTCGTGAGCAGCACACTCTTGCTCTGGCTAAAATGCTGTATGCTGGAGAGGTAACGTGCAATTTTAAATTCAAACAACATTTTGGATATTTACTTTATTTTAGAACAATACAGCTACGAAGTCCTTACGCAGCAGGGATCGCCTCAGGAGAGAAAAAATTAACGCCGCCATGGCACATTTCAAAGAGGTAGTGGATGATAACGATGAGGTTGCAGTGGAGGACATAGTAGAATATTGTCTTAATATGTCTCGTTATGTTTCAGAAAAATTAGTTTAGGACATTGAATGTTAAAATATTAGTATAATATTATGTATATATTTGAGTTAAAATCTTGATGTATATAAACGTATGATTGTTAGTAATTATCGAACTTACAGCAGAGTAGTATATTATTGAGTATATGGTGATATTTCAGATGAATTTCGGGTATTGCATTATGTAATTAGTGTCAGTCATTTTATGCCAGTCATGTAATTAAAATTTCGTTTATTACGATTAATACAATTATGTAAATAAAACAAACTTTTTTTGTCATGTATAAATACACATGTTTATGATTTTCTAATGAATGACGTTGTACATATAATAAATAAGTAGTGGATTATGTTGCTATGTTATGCACGTTAGATTAATCATTTCCATAAATGATTTGTAATAAATGCAACCTAATCTATATATGTTCATATATTTATATATATGCTTAAAAGAACAATATTTATTTTCTGGTAGCTATTGGTTGTCCGTAATAATTATAATCTATATACTTATATATGCTCAAAAGAATAAATTTATTTTTTGCATTTGTAGCTATTGACTGTCACAACGTTAATCAAGTCGGTGATTAAGTAAGTCAACAGTTGCCAGCTCCATTACTCAAAATTCGCTTACATGAGGAAAAGTGTTTATGTCTCTCTTTTACTCACTGGTAGCGAGCCCCAGCGCTTTTGCACGCTAGATGAGCTGTTCTAGCAGCTAGGATTTGGTGTATCGTTAAGTACCCGCTGATAAGTAACAAAGGGGCGGGGCTTAGCGTATATCACAAATGGCTGGGTACCTAACGCCCGCACCCCGGCTGGGTACCTAACGCCACGCACCCCTCCTCACTCTCTGCCACGACTTCCAGAGGCAATAAATGATTCACTGCACGGTCGACCACCCTCCTTTTGCCTGTTCTTATTCTGGCTGATCTTACGTTGCCATCTTTTGAGGTGTGTAGTTCCAAAATGAGTCCTAATGGCCAGTTTGATCTCGGCGCGTCCTCTTTGACGAGCACGACTTCACCGACTCTTGGTAATTTCGTAGAAGACCGGGTTTTCGCGCGTATAGCTTCTCTTTCCGCCAATACTGATAAGTATTCCTTCTGCCAGACATCCCAAAAACGGTCTAAGTCGGTCTGCAGTGTCCTGTAGCGCTTGTTAAGCGCTTGATAGTTGTCGCTCGACGAGTTCTTAACCTTCTGTGGCAAACTGTGAGTCAAGCGAGCTATTCGGAACTGTGGCGATATCAAATCGATCGGCCGGATAGCCGCATTTGCACTAGGATTCACCGAGTTTACTGGAAAGAGCGGCCTGGTATTGAAAATGGCCTCTATCTCTATGATGAGCGTTTCGAAAAGCCAGAGATCTAGAGTCTGATTCCGTATCGCCTTCTTCAGCGCAATCTTCACTGATGCGACCAATCTCTCATAAAATCCCCCTTTCCAAGGCGAATAGGGGTTATGAAGCTCCACTTGATATTATGGCTCATCAGAAACTCGTCCATCTGGGAATCCTCCGTAACCGTCGTCAGCTGATTCTTGATAATCTCCTGTCCCTATTTGAAGGTAGGCGCGTTATTGCTTGTAACGCTGTCGGGTGTTCCTCTGCGTGCCATAAACCTTCTGAAGCAAGTATAAATTGGAACGTAGAGTTGCCTCTTACCACTTCTAAATGCAACGCGCGCGTCGACATGCACGTGAAGAGGCAAATCCAGACTTTATGGCGATCGCAGTTCAGCAAACGAACGGAGATAGGCCCAAAATAATCTAATCCAATGTGCTGGAACGGACGACTCCTCGTAACTCTTTCAGCTGGTAAATCAGGTGGACTCGGATAAGTGCATGGGCGACCCTGATATATCTTTTACAGATTACACACCTGGAAATAAACGATTTTACTATAAGTCTTATTTTGGGTATGAAGAATCTCTCACGTATGGCAGTTATCAAATGTGACGGTCCTGCGTGAAAGAGCTGATGATGGTAATGCGCGATCAACTTCTCGCAAAGAGGATGAGATGAAAGTATGAGGATGGGATTTCTTGTATCGCTCATCTGCGCGTTGGTCATACGCAAGTCAACTCTTACAGTACCGTCCGTATCGTATTTCGTGTGGAGTTTCTTCACATACGATCCGTCCATTTGGCGCTGACTTTCGCGATAATGTTCGCGTATGAGTATAACTTCAGCTGCAGTGAAATCGTCCGATGTTATAATGGGAGTAGTATCTATCGTGCTAAAAAGAGAGCATTTGTCCTGATCTTCGCGCTGAAAGCGCGTCTTGACTCTGTGACGCACCTTAGCCAGGTATTTGAGGACGTATGCTATAGAACGAATCAACTTTGCGATCGCAGTTCAGCAAACGAAAGGAGATAGGCCCAAAATAATCTAATCCAATGTGCTGGAACGGACGACTCCTCGTAACTCTTTCAGCTGGTAGATCAGGTGGACTCGGATAAGTGCATGGGCGACCCTGATATCTTTTACAGATTACACACCTCGAAATAAACGATTTTACTATAAGTCTTAGTTTCGTACGTGTAAACGGCACGAAAGATCTATACGTCTCTTGTATGTTACTAACCGAAGAAACGACTGCCCTTGGCACGCGAAGGTCTTCCGATTCTGCTCCTGCGGGTGTTACTTGTGATGGCTTGAAAGCCTTGCAGGGCCACTGTTCGAAGGGCGTCGTGAAAAAACTGGGACCTGTCCACCATATATGTTGTTGAAGTTCAGATGCTGTCAATGCCCGGGTGGCACAATCTGCTGGGTTAGTTTCCGTGGCCAGGTAATAGAATCCGGTGGCGATTTCGTCTGCCTTCAGCTCATCCAAAACGCGACGAATGTACTTGGCACGATTGATGGCGTAGGTCTTGAGGGGCTTATGGGACTGTATCCAGTAAAGGACTATCTGCGAGTCAGTTAGAAACCTGATGGAAAGGAATCTAACTTTGAGCTGGCTTCTCAAGAACTGCACTGTTTTCGCTGCCATATGACAAGCCAAGAGCTCCATGCGCGGGATCGTAATAGCGCCGGGTAGAGCTAACTTTGCCTTGGCAAAGAGTAGAGATGATTGAGGCTTGCCATTATGGGGGCGCGTCACGATATAGGCAGTCATGGCATACACTCGTTTGGACGCATCTGAACACACGATCAGATCGTACGTATCTTCCTCGGTATAACCAATGAAGCGCGGCATCCTCAACTGAAACTCGCTTATGTCCTGCACGATCGTGTTCCATTTCTGGTTATCCTCATCAGTCCACGTATCGTCCCAACCATAACCGGACTCCCAAAGATCTTGTATGAAAATCTTGGATTTTATCAGCAAAGGTGTCAAGAATCCTAAGGGATCGAACGTCGACGCGTAGACTTGTAGCGCGGTCCTCTTACTGACAACTGGTTGACGCGCGATATTGATAGGCACGTGTAGTACATCAAGCTTAGGATCCCATTTGAGTCCTAAAAACTTAGCAAAATGCCCTTGGATGGTCATACAGCTTTCTTGAGGGATCGCAACTAATGCTTTCTGATTGTTGGACATAAACTCTCGAAGATTCATGCCCATCCTGGCAAAGGTGTCCTTGCACTCCATACACTTGTCCACACAATCCTGGGTGGTCTTCAATCCTACTATCACGTTATCCACGTATGTGTTGGCAAGGATTTCCTCTTTGAGACGGTTCGCTGGATCCTGTTCAAGAAAGTATCTGATGGACATGCTAAGTAGAAATGGTGATGCGTTTATGCCAAATGGCAGACGCGCGAAGCGCATGATACGTAGATTTTCCGTTGAGGGTGGCTGGTGTACGTCCTTCAACCAGAGAAATCTAGTAGAGTCTCTTTGATCCTGGTGTAGATGGATCTGATGAAATGCTTTCTCCACGTCCGCGATGACAAGATAACGATGGAAGCGGCTTCGCATCAGGGTTCCTACCAGGTCGGGTAGCAGGGACAGTCCCTGATGAAGGCAGTCATTGAGACTAGGAAAACCTTTCTGGTGGCTAGACGCATCAAGGACGATTCGTAACTTTGTAGTCGAGCTCTCCTGCTTGTGAACGGCTTGATGTGGTATGTAATAAACATTGGGGCCTCGCGCGACAACGTGCGTGACATCTTCTATTATTCCTCTCTTCAACTGCTTCTCAAATGTCTGACAATATTCATCCCATACCGATGGTGTAGCACGAGACTTCTCGTACTGGTTTTGCAGTCGACGAAAGGCTAGAGTCTTGTTATCAACAAGAGGAGGATGATTCAATTTCCATGGGAAGGAGACATAAATCTTGCCATCCTCGATCCTGACCATGTCGTAGAAGTGCTTGATGACGTTAGCATCTTCTGCATTCTCATGTTCTTCTATCGCAACTGTGTCGAGGCCAAGAAGACTTCGCACAAGATGGTCGCTTACCGGCTCGTCATCCGTAAAGAGGGTCTTGGAGGCTAGAAGGTATTGGAGACAACCGGGTACTTCAATCCAGATAGAACTGGTCCAAATCTCGTGTGCGACAAAGTCAAACCAGATGGTGACTTCTCGTTCTTGTGCAAGTCTACAACCCGCCAATAGTTATCAATTCCAATCAACACATCGACCTCGACTCTATCCTCGTAATCGACGATGTCGCTGTCGTTTCGAGTATTAGTCCGTGGGACCGTCGTGATAGTCTCGCGCGTCCATAGCTCGAGTTCAATCGGATAGTTATACTGGTCCCAGAGCACGAGTGTAACCTCTGACGATTCCTCCGTAAACTGATGGCCTCCGAAATTCAGAGTTATGACTTCCTTAGTATTGCGGAACGGTAAGCCTAAGTGTTTGGCTAGCGACGTACGGATGAAGCTGTACTGCGAGCCACTGTCCAAAAACACTGTCAGAAGCTCCTCCGTTCTCGTTCTATAGTTCTTCGTTACAGCATGTACTACCATTAGGCGTGGCTCCTGGTGCACCGACTCTTGAGAACAAACAGAAGTGCATGATGATGGTGAATGTGAGCCTACACAAGCCTGTTGTTGATCAAGAGGTTCTGCTTGCGCGTCTCTGGTAGTACAAGGTAACTCAGTAGTACGGGTGGCGCTGTGTACTGCGGATGTAGGGCTACGTGATCGGCGCGCGGATGGGGCACGCCTAGCTGGTGAAAAAGAAGACTGTCGCCTAGATGGAGATAGCGATTCAAAATGAAGATTGCGCGATGGAGTTGCGCGGGAGCGGCTACTATACTCGCGAGGTGGACCATAAGTATCTCTTTGGAACCGCACGCGTCTAGGAGAGTAGGATCTCTCCGGACTTGGATATGTAGTCCTTTCACCGGATGGAAATCGTGGTCGCGATGCGCGTGGGAAATCCATACAAAGAGCCTTATGGTGTAATCTGCTGCAGTATCCACATGTTGATGCACTACAATAAATGTAAGTGTGACCTTGTTCCAAGCACAAAAAACAGAGCTTATGACGACTGACAAACAATCTACGCTGCGCGATATCCTGCACAATCCTGCATCGCTCTGATGAATGTCCAAGCTCACAACAAAAGGCACACTGAGGCTCGTAACGAGCTACATAACCTGGTCTACTGGGACTGCGCGACGTAGTGCGAGGATAGTATGGTGTTGGTGGTCTATTGTGCCTGCTGTAGAGTGATGGTGTGCGCCATACCTTCGATACATAGAGCCACGTACTCTGGTGACCTTCACTTTGAGCGTCATGATAGAGCACAACCTTCACTTAGAGGGAAGTCATCCGAGGCGAAGCCCGGATATCATGGCATAACTAATGACATATCCATGTAGGGAAAGATGTGAATGAGGTAAATATGGTAGTGACATCCAAAAGAAGCTCAAAAAACCGAAGGATTACGTTTTTATGGCCCTTTTTTGCCAAAAAGACTTTATATTCAAAAATTCAATGAGGAACTGGAGCAAAATTTCTCAGTTAATCTTCCTCTAGACTTCGAGTGAGCGTTGGAAGTTCATGAAAGCAGCTGGAGTTAAATAGAAATGAGAGACTGCGCTCAAATCTTGCGCAGAGAGTCGCTACTTAAATGCTGGTCTATTTCGTTATGGAGTGATTTTCAAGACCCGCGACGTTGTCAGTCCTCCTGGGCGTCTCATGAGGATCACAACGATATATAATGTTACAGGGTTTCGTTATGATCCTGCGGAGATCAATGACCAGAGCCAAATGCCCCGCCGGCTCTGGTCTGTCTCCGCTGCTCGTCTGCGTCTCCGCGACTTGCGCGCTACCTCACTACCCCAAAAGCGGGGCGCGGGGCATTTGGCTCTGGTACCCTTTTCTTCGTTGTTGAGAGCCCAATTTCGACAATCTATATATCATATTAAAGCTCTTGATCTCTATTTTCACGCTGACAACGTCGCAAGACTCCTTTTTATGATTTAAACGAGAAATATAGGAAAAACGGAGTTTTCGAAAACCTCTTGTTTTTTCTTCAGTTCAACTCTTTTCACTCGGTTTTTTTGTGTATTCGATAGGTTTTGTTTCTGTCTATGATGTAGACAACGTCGCCGAGCTTACTTCTTTGCTTATGCCGGTTTTTTTTGTGAAAATTACCAAAAAGTAGTTTTTCTTTACTTTGTTCTTTTTCAATGCTTTTGCAACGAATTTTCTCCAGCTTGGACGTTACTTGCTCAGAAGGATGAGCGGAAGAATCCAGACAACGTCGCAGGATACGAAACGACCATGCGGGGGTAAAAATTCAAAGGACGCGTCAAAAATCAGATTGGCGTCGATGTGCAGCATAACTTTTCAGACATGTTTAACATGTTCAGTTCAGTTGTTGAAGTTGTTGACAAGTTTGCCTTCTTTCGGTCTCCCAACTACCGCCACAGCTAACGCTTTTTTTAATTAGAAAAGAACTTTGTTCCTGTTGCCACCCAATTTAACCGGCAACTGAAGGACAAAAATGTGCGTAGGAAACCACCAAGATAAGGTTTTAAATTTGGTGATATGATAGCCTCTGTTTTATATGAATTTTTCAAGTTTCCTGGTTCAATTCAAATCTCTAAATTTCCATCTATTTTTTCTAAAACAACCTTCACTATTTATAGGGGGCAAGAACTCAAACAACTATCACTTTCTAGGCTCTGTCTCTTGACTATCGAAGGTATGGTGTGCGCGACTGAGACGAACGTCGTGGGTAATACGATGACGTGCGATAGCGCGTAAACGCTGGATCATTGCGACTCGCGCTCGGGTACCTACGCGGCGAAAGAGAAGATTGACGAGACACTGTTTGAGAATTATATGAATGATAATCCGATGGGTCAGCGTCCTCCACGGTTTCCAGTCTATCGATGATGATATCCAACGTCGAAAGCAATTCATCCATTGTCCACATCGAATCTCCCTTCGTCTTGTATTCGCCAATTTTCTCGCGCGTACGTCGAGGAAATTTGGCACAAATGATCTTAAGCGTGCCGATGGCGCTAGAGTCCTCCTTGAGATGTTTCAATTAGGACCATATGGCCTTGATGGTGCAAAGTGTCGCGCGTTGCGACATTGGCGATTCTGATGCTGATGGCTGCTGCATCAGTTTGTCCCAGAGCCTATTTCGGAGAATCTCCGGCCTTCCATACGTAATAGTCAAGGTCCGTACTGCGTCATCATAGTTTTCTGCCGTAGGCTGAAAGCCGACAATAAGGCTCGCAGCTGGCCCACGTAGATGTGACTTGAGGTACATAAACTTGAGTGACACTGGCACACTGATGTTGTTATGCACCGCCGTCGAAAAGAGATCCCAAAACTCCAAAAACTTGTCGACATCTCCGTGAAAGGTTGGAATCTCAAAAGTGGCAACTTCAACGACTGTTCCATGGATGGGTAAGGAAGGTTGGAGATAGGGACTGATGAAGAAACGAAAGGATTCGACGGGGAAAGGTTGAGAAGGGGTTTGCAAAAGTTGGGTGGGATGAAGGGACTTGTGAGGGGTTGTCGAATCCTTGCACGACGCTCTGCGCGCGTGCGGGTGGGGAAGTCCGATCAGCTCGCGCGACTGCATCTGGATCAGCTGGACGATCCTGGTCATGCGACGAAGAATGGCTCGCGACTTCCATTCTCACATCCTGAGGGAGGCTGACGGGTACAAATGGGGCCGGATTAGGAGTAAGATTACAAAGAGAGGGAGGAACAGTAGAAGCGCGAAAAAGATACAATGCCTCCGAGCTCGTCAAGAGTTCGATCGCAGCGTCG